AATTGATCGTCGGTATGATAATGAAGATGGATAAAGTATTTGAAACGTCACTAGATAAGTATACAAATAGAATATATTTTCGCAGTTAGAAATTTGAACATCTGATTTCGAGTTGAACCACATTCAAAATTTTGCGTTGTTCTACGTTTCGGCTTCGACGATTCAGAAACAATTTTATAGATTTAATGGGAATACTTACTTCAAATGAGACATTGCGATAATTTTAATCTGAAAAAAGTCTACAGGGATTCGTTGGGTGATTCTTCACTGGATGAATCAGTTTCATTAGGATTGATGACAACTGGAATAACTTTTTCTGATAACGAGTCTATGCGATCATCCAGATCCCACATCTCTGCTTCGATTCTGATTGTTTTGTGGATACATTTTTCCCAAGCTTTTTGTCAACTGTTTCCAGAGCACTGTATAGGTATTTCTTTACTTTACACAGCTTGAAGGTCTTATTATTCCTTGCGATGAATCTTTTAACTTGAGCTCAAACCAACTCTATTGGATTCAATTTGATAAGGCGACAACCGAAGAACCGACATTCCTTTAGTCTTTGCCATCTCATCGGTGACATGCCTGACGAACTTTGACTTATGACGTTTAGCCAAGTTGAGGAACTCCGCTTTTAACATGGTCGATTCAAAAGGAACAGCTTTCATTTGTAACCACTCAGTAATATCTGCTTTCTTCCAACATGACGTCGGTAGCTTCTCGACTCGTCTACTGTGGTAACTTGCGTTATCCATTACTATTACGGATCCCTGCGGAAGTTTTACAAGTATGTTTTTAACCCATTCTTCGAATACTGTGGCATCCCGTTCTTGACGATAATCCCCATTTTTCTTCGATTATTCTCTCTCATTTCTGACCAGATTATAAATATAAATAACTGTTATTGAATATCCAACCTTCTGTTCATATTGATCACATTGTATCTAAGTTACTGAAACTATTGGAATTTGTTCAACAACCTACAGACACATTTTCTATAAATTCTTTTAGGATAATGTACAATCAGTCTTGGAAATATCTAGGATTGAGAAAACAAAAAACAAATTTCTGGGATCATGTGCATTTAAGCTTCAATATTTGGCTACTCTTAAATTTATCTACTTTGGAGAACCGCCGAACTAGAGTTGACTTAAGACTTCTTTATAAAGTCATAAATGGTTATATGAACTGACCCTGTGTAATACAATGCAAGAAACACCAGTATGTTGAAGTTGTTTCAAGTTCCTTGCTATGGTACTGGTTATGCCTTAAATGAATCAGTTATTAGAATGCTTAGGCTAGTAAATAGCCACAGTGTTGTTATTGATATATTTGATTCATCCACATAATCTTTCAAAAATCAGGTCAAACTTATTGACCTACTATGAAAAAACTACGTATTATTATTATTATATATTAACAATTAATCGATATTTGTGTATTTTTGGTATTACCGGAATGTGTTATATTTTCAATTCGATCTATGATCTTTCCACTATGAAATTCAAAGATACTCATGTACAATATAATTCAATTACGATCCCATTGTGGGGTCAATATTTGAACAAGGTTCACCTTTTTAACATTCAATCCTTTTTAAAAAACAAACATCCGAAAACACCTTTCCGGTTAAATTAGTAAGTTATACTTTCCAAACTCATAAAAATAATAACGAAAATTAACGTGTTTACATAGACACCCTGTATTGTAGGTGCTTTGGAAAAATATGAAATGACCTACTTCAACTCGAATAAATGTGTGGCAACAAAAAAGTTTCGATTACCATTTTCTGAGAATAAATTACACGTAGTACCCCATAAAATGCAACGATGAGCTAGCACTGAGTTCATCTAGAACTTTTAGTGTCTTCGTATCTATCTTATGGCAATACCACCCAAATTTCAATAAAAATGCTAATGATTAACTAATACCAAGTCAGACGTTTACTACCACATATTTTAGATGTTATGTAATAATTTGTGCAGATGAAAGTAATAGATATACGAGGTATTCAAGGATGAATTTTAAAATATATCTACTTCTACACTTTTCCAAATTTCACCATATTTGATAAAAATATCAAGTATCTTTGTATTATCTACTACTTCAGTGAAATGTATTTTGGTAAATCATTTTACTTCGTTGGAAAGAGGTGGAAAACATTCTCTTGGAGGTTAACAGTTCATTTTTATTTGAAGTGTTTGGAGAAAAGTAAACCAAGATGTTAATTTTCAAGTTTTAATTCATTCATTCATTTAATGTACAAAAATTATCTACCTTGTTTGAGAGACATTGTGTGTTTATATGGAAAATACTGAAATTATTGTTGATAATGTTAGTATTATTAACCTTATTAGTGTCATAATATGCATTTAACTTGTCAAGTTCGGACCCGTCCCTCCTTGTGTCTTGGACGTCGTGACGTATGTGAAATATGCTCACTGCGTCATTACCATTAATCAGTTCATTGAAGTTTGTAATGGTTTTGGAATAAGATTCACTTCCATTTATAAAAAATTGTCTGGCCTTTGATTGTTTACCCTTCGCTTTTGAAAGTCTCTATACTTTTGAAAGTCGAATCGTTTAAACCCTACTCCCCTTGGCCACAGTTCAGGCTGGTAAATATTTTCTTTATGTATTAAATTAACTCCAACCATGAAGCATCTCAGTTTATTTGTTTCACTGCTTATGTCCTTCACTGTACAATCCTCGTTTCCTCCAAGTTTTCCTTTTAAATATTTAGTGATATCTTCCTCTGTCACTTTTTGTTGAACCCTGTATACATACATCCAGATTTTTGACTCTTCTCCAACAAAGACATCATCCTTGGCTTTACCTAGTTTTGATCTTTGCTTCCAGTCATTTTGCTTCTGGTGTTTTTTTCGCTGTACTACCGTATATCCTTGATCATTTGCTGCAATCTGGTATTCACCTGGAGTTTTATTCAGATTTATAATATCGTTCATCACTTCTTGTTGTTTATTTAGTATTGCTTCACCATTAGTCATCTTTTCCTTTAATGGTATGTTTTTGTTTCTCTGGGAACTTCCTTTAGTTTTTTCTGAAGTGCTAGGTGGATCCGAGTTTGGCACAGCCGTTTTTTCATGAGTTCGTTTTTGTTCCGGTTTATTTATTTGACTTTCTTTCAAGGCAAAAAAACTGTTTACTTGCTTTTTTATTTCTTCGTTTATTTCGGGGATATATCTTGAATTTTTCTCATGATTATCCAACAATCTGTTTAGGTCATCTCTGAGACATTCCTGTTGTTGCATGAGTTGTAGGATTACCTTGTTCAGATTTTCATTCGTTTTTATCAGGAAATTTACATCAATTTCCGATCCTGATGCATTGTCATTTAGGTTATGTTCACATGCTGGACAGCAAAGTTCATTAAAGCCCACAACTTTCATATTTCTCACACGAACTGCACATGCTGCGTGGTATATGGAATCACATGAGACACATTTTATTATTGATTTTGCAGCTCTCTGGCATCCTTTACACAGAGTAGGGAGATCTAGAATATCATCAACCTTCTCAGGCGCCATCTTCGCCATATATACATATATATACAGGGTCGTTGATATATATGGAAACAGTCGATTATTTTATAAAGTAAGAAAGCTAGCGAAAAATGTTGAGATACAAAAGTTTTAGGATTTTTCTACGATGAACTTCGAATAGGAAAACCTTTTATGATTATCTGAAACATCTATATCAAAAATATTTGTTTTATTAAGCAGAAAAAGAAATGATAGCAATAAGAACATCCGAAACAAACACTATAATTGTAATGAAAATTGAAGTGAAGTAATTTAAACACACAAAAAAATTAATGTCGCAATAATTGTTGAAAATGGAGTCATTCCATTTCGAGACATTTTTGAACTCTGTTTTTAAAATTATTTATTGCTCTCAACACACTTATTTGCTGCATTGTTACGAAATCTTGAGTCTTGCACATTTTCTATCTCTCTGCCAGCGTAAATCCTATTTTTCAATGTCCAAAATAGTAAGATCTGGTGATCTTGCAGGCCATTATATTGGCCCAGTATTTGTCTCGAAATGGAAGGACTCCAATTCGAACATTTATTGTGCCATTAATTTTTTTGTGTATATAAATTACTTCATTTCAATTTTCATTACAATTCATCTAGAGGGCGCTGCGTACGCTGTCATTATTTATTTCTAATTGCCGTAACTTTTTTGACAGTAAACTTTTGGTACTTTTCATGAAAAAACCTAATTCGCACACATTTTCCAAGTAAAAATGGTATACTTCCTCAACAACGCTGGAGGTGATTGTTTTTGAGATATTTACTGTTTTCTATATCGATGCATATTACTAAACTCCTAGGGCGCTAAGTGAAGTTGCCGAGAACATTACAAAAACTGAGTATGTGGTGGATCTCATCAAAATAAACAACTTTTCCCTATAAAATGTTTAACGAAGAATGATTCGTTTTCGAAATACAGATTGTTGAAATTTTTCAAAACATGGTTGGTTTTTGTCATAAGTTTTTTTGCAATTTTAGTTATTTTCATCAAACATTTCATAGGAAAAAGTTGTTCATTTTGATTAAATCCACCACATACTGTTGCATTTTCCACCATGGGTTGACCAATAGTTGACTATACTGAACAATAAGTAAACTTACTTTTATTATTTCACTTTAAATACAACAAACACTTCAACTAAAACTTCGACTATTATTCGAATGTCTATCGCATTACTAGATCGCTCTCTCTCATGATGGGCGGATTCGCATGAATGGCTGGATCTAAAACCAGATTGGATTGTAAGGAGTATTTTTTTTATTAAAATATTCCAACAGTTTTTGATATACTACTGATTCTAACAGTTTTTCAGCACAAGGTAAAGTGTTAATTTGTGATGAATTCTAGTCATCTGAAAGTTTATGATGTTATATTTCTAGAGGCTCTTTCTGAAACATAACTTCTAAATAAATTATTAGGATTATTAACTTCAATATTACCTAACTTTGCACTTTCATTTAAGGAAATGTTTTGCCTGTTGGAACCATGCCAGAAGGTACAATCGTATGTAACTTAGAAGAAAAGACTGGCGATCGTGGTCGTCTTGCAAGGGCATCTGGAAACTATGCAACAGTTATTGCCCACAATCATGACACAAAAAAAACCAGGGTCAAGTTACCATCTGGTGCCAAAAAAGTCATTCCTTCCAACAATAGGGCCATGGTTGGTAAGTATATAAAGCAAACATATTTGTTCTGTAACTTATTAAAATACAGCTTCCATCACATTTCAGTAAAAATATTTTTATGCACTGCTGGCTTGAACATATCTCATTGAAAGCAAAGCTGTTGCAAATAACTGATGATTTCAATGTCATGATGATTTCTAAATTACTGATCATTTAATGATTAATATTTTAGAGGCTCTTTCTGATACAAATTTTAATTAAATTGCACATTTTAGGCTAATTTTCAGGAGCTCAATATATTTTTTGTTTCAGGTATTGTTGCAGGGGGTGGTCGTATCGACAAACCAATTCTTAAAGCTGGACGTGCCTATCACAAATACAAGGTTAAGCGTAACTGCTGGCCCAAGGTACGTGGTGTTGCTATGAATCCCGTCGAACATCCCCATGGTGGTGGTAACCATCAACACATTGGTAAAGCATCCACTGTTAAAAGAGGTACCTCTGCTGGTCGTAAGGTTGGTCTCATTGCCGCCAGGAGAACCGGTCGTATTCGGGGTGGTAAAGTGGATGCCAAGAAGGAAGATTAAATTTAAATTGTTAATGCTTGATAATATGTCAATATGTTTTTTCTGGATCGTCTGTGAAGTAAAACTTGTGTTTCATTAGAAATATATTGACTTTGATAATTGAAAGTATTTTATTTTTGTAACATGTTAAACTGAAACGAGAAAATGCTCATCTTTGATGTGCTTTGTGAAAGCACTCCATTAATTATAATAGAGGTAGGAAATACTAAAATAAGAGTTGTGTTCAACAACACCTAACTACTTCAATTTTAGAAGGTCAAATTGTTTGCAAATATTGAATGTTTAGGATTATGCACAAATATGAATTCAGTAGTAAGCTTTTTTCATAGCAAAATGAATGGAACTTTCGAAAGTACCAAATGTACCAAAAAAAATCAACGTGATACATAGTGCAAAATTTAGCTCATACTCGAATGCAGCACATTGTTGAATGTAAAGATTGATACTACTTTATGTGATTCAATGTATTTTATTAGGTTAGGTTGGTTTTTTTAGGGAAATATTTTGGGTATTTTCCCTTGTCAAGAAATTAATAAGATCTGAAAAAACTAAGACTAATGAATACAAATTCGGAACGTGGCCCAGATCAGTTCATTGCTTTTAAAATGTGTCAAGTTTTAGATAGTGATTATAGATAATAATTCAAGATATGGAATGGATTATCCAGATAATTCGATACTAATAATTATATGGTTATTGCTTTTTTATTCAGGCGCATTTGACGAAAATTCGAATTAATTTGATATAATTTGCACCACAGAACTCGAACAGAATTATTCTATAACTCAAAGATAGCTGTTTCACAAATTGTCATTTTTAGGTCAATCACTAGGTATTTTTGTTGGCACTAATCCTATTCCAGATTGGGCAATTCTCAAAAGTCACTCTCTGTTGATATTATTTGATCGAGCAGAGACAGCGAATAACTTGACGGAAATGACCCAATCTGGAATGAGATTAATACTGTGTTAATGTCAACAAAATAAACGTAATACTACAGTATCATGTCGTTAACCTTTGAGCTCATAAAATAATTTTCTATATTATACTTTTAAGTACTTTTTCACCTCTAGAATCTTGTCCTTTGTCAAAACGATTATCGTAGCTGCTGCTATTATCAGATTGACTTTGATTCGATTTATTGCGCAGATGCGGAGGCACGTAGCGGCCGCTAGAGCTGCGACTCTGCAAGTCCAGACCAGCAAACTGTAAAATAAATTGAATACCATAAAAATACTGGAAGGAAGAATTGAAACTTTGGCATAGATGAATCAATAAAAACACTCCTCTCGAATACCAGAACTGTGACTCTCTTCTCAAGACATGTATAACAAACATAGTTGGGGTCATTAGGAGGTGAACTATACAGTTCAGCATTGCCATATACATAAGTATGTTGAAGCACGTCTTGTGTTTATGGTAGTTAGACCTTTCAGCTTCGACTTTAAAGCCATTTTCAAGAAGCTATCACTACACTGAGGTCCCAATCTGCCTACTCATCAGGTAGTGACACTTTGTAAAGGTTTTCTGAGTTGATGCCGGACCTTCAATCTGCCTACTCCCTAAGTCTCGTCGCTAGCCTCCGCAAGGGTCTTCCGTGACATTATTTTAATAAGATTCTACACTACAGTATTTGATATTACCTGTTCTCTCAAATCATTTCTTCGATATTCTAAAATGTTTCATCTGTGATTGACGTCTGTCTGGATAGTTTGAATCTAATTTATCTAAGATTTGAAATGTTTCACCAATCATTAAACACTGAAATTGGCTACGACTTTGTATATCGCCACAAATGAAACAAAATAATGAAATGTAAAAAAATTTTATAACTTGGTGTGATTTGCTTGAAAACTGTGTTACTTTATCACGAATAATTGGAATGGTGTATGCTTTAGGTGTAGGCGAGGAAAACTGTTATTTGTGTTCCCTTGCGACAGATTGCATCAACAGGTGAAATCTTGTTTTAAATTAATGAGAGAACAATTTGCGAGAATCATATCGAATACAAAAAAAAGGATCGTGCTAAAACAGTATTGATTGATGAAAACTGCTCAGCAGAAAATCCTTAATCAGTGTGTTGGGTGAGTAAGTAAAGATTTGGAAATAATAAAATTTTCAGTTGCCACAAGTTTGAAAGATAACAAATTTCACCCATTCCGCATACAGCTTACACCAGGAGTTGATAGAAAAAAAATTCTTCACCAAGTCGTCACAAATGGAAGAACTAAAAGAGCTTTTAACCAATTGCAAGGTATTTAGATCTCTGAGAGAGCTAGAACCCCTGTGATTCTTCTATGAAACCCCAGGCTTCCGCAGACAACCATTTAGAAATCTAGGTACTATAGGTACTACTGAAAATAGATTATATCTATATTTTGTAGGGAAGAATGGAGGGCATAAAAATAAAATTTCCAGCATTACAGTTTAGCTCTAACACAGAAACATTCAAGATTCACTCAAAACCTATATTTCCTTTATTCACAAGATAATTTTTCTGGATTGCAAAATTTAATGGAGGTGATGAATGGGATAAAATCAAAATTACCTACATACTTTCATCTGTTATTACATATTTCAATTACATTTTACATAACAAATACAATAATCAACTAAAAGAGACAAGATTACGTTTGATATTACATCTGAGTTCTTTGTTATTTTTGGAATCATTTCGAAACATGCATGAAAGTAAATAAGTACGATAAATCAAACTCAATTTGACTTGAGTAATAAGAATTCTTTTTACAACCCAAATTAGATTTTTCAAAAAAACAATTTGATTATGCTACGATTGAGGAGCCGATCAATAGTGGAAGAATTCACGACCTCCATTGTCAGGGCTTCCGGGTAGGAGAAACGTGGTAGCATTAAAAATTCGTGAAATATTCCACTCACCTGCTGCTCTAGACCTGATCCATTTTCGTTGGGTGCATTACTCATATTATAACAATTCAGAACGTGTAGTTGAAGTTTTTATTGCCAAAACTTCCAGGATAGATTTCACAAAAAGCGTCTAACAATTTCACAAAACCGTCGTCTCCGCTCACTGTCGACACTACGCACTACGAGATGTGTTGTGAAACGTCACTACGTCATTTACTGCGCAAGTCAAATGAAGAAATTGAAAAAATAGTTACTAAATGATTTATAATTAGGAAAATGCTGAGAATGCTAAGTGGACGAAAAATTTTACATTAATAATGAAATATGATTATGTGACATTTCTATAATCTATGTCAATATTCTAATCATTTGGTTTTGGCGATTTTGGCCTACTAACTGCCACAAACCACAGAATTTTACATACAACCACGGACATTCTGTTATCAGGGTTGCACTCAATATCTGATTTTTGTTTTCTGACCAAATTTGGAGAATGAAGATATTGGACTTTTTGTGACCTTAAAATGAAAGAGAAGTTCTTAATTATTCCATCGTTGTTATCAAGTGAATCGACAATTAATGAAAAAGGTAAAAAAGTAAAAATATCAAAGAAGTAAAGAATATTCTAGTTGAATGTGGATATATTAAAAGTTCTTAATTCAATGTTACTGAAATTGGATCCAACATAACAAACAACATTCTTTATAAGGTTTCAGATTGCTCTTGTCTGTGTTTATAGTAAATCCTAAAGATGTATCGCAGTCCGAGTATTACTCGAACATTCTTTAAAAGAATTAGAAATGATAATGATGTCATCTAAGTCAACTACACATGCATTTCCAAATTTACGAAGATTGCTTTATACCGGCTTTAGTATTTTGGTAAAAATATATGGTGCAGTATATAATCCGGAAGGCAATTAATTGAATTGGTATAACTTTTCTTTGAATCAGAAATTCAGGAGTTGTCTGTTCGTGTTTTTCTCTGGAATTCAATAATATGCATCTTTGAGGTGGATTTTGCAAAGATATTTATTTGTATGTGGAATTTCCTCTAATCTGAAATGGGGAGGGTTCGATAATTTGTTTGAAATAATCAGATTTAATATAAATCAAAAAAGCTATTTGGCTTTCAAGGGAAGAAAACTTGATAAAAGCGGCGAAATTGCACTGAAGTGCGAATAATTTTTTTTGTCACCGGCAGTCAGATGACTTTTGTCCTTTTTTGAAATGGTTGATTTCTGAAAAACAGTTCATAACCAGATTTACATTCTAACAATAATTCACTATTAGTGAATCTTCTTCTATTTTAAAAAAATTTGGCAAATTGGCTTATATATTTTACCTCTACGCATTCTTGAACTGTCTTTTTCTTTCACGAATGCTAGTATCTCCTTTCCTTCATGTCTCTGACAGCCTAACGCTTGAAGTTTACAGAACTTGTATTGGCCAGTTTGTAACTGTGTTTGTTGATATGGTGTACCACTATAGTACATCCTAATTTCATTTTTAGTTCTGATGACTTTTTTAGAATTTCTTTTTTATTTTCTACATCAGTAACTAGATTGTTTTCGAAAAGCTATTAATTTGTAGTTCCACGACGATTTTTTTGACAGAGTAATCTAGAGCTTCGGAAGCAACCTCCTGCTGTCGGTGAATATGTGCCTCCGAGGCCGATGTCCTGAAACCCAAATGGAATGACGAGACAAGTGTGATGTCGTCAGATTCTTGGTATTTTCCAACAAGTCGTTGATATATAATAAAAAGCGGGTTGGAGACAATATGGATCCCTGGGGAACACCAGCGTTGATGATGAAAGTATTTGAGAGCTATCCATCGATGGCCACTTGCAGGAAACTTTCTTTCAGGAAGCTGAAGAGCCATATAGAAAAATGATCCGACAAGCCATTGCATCGAAGTTTGGCCAGCAAACCCCCTCATGCCACGCACAGTCAAAGGCTCAGAAATATCAAGCGCAACAGTTGATTCTTCATGTTTCTCGATCGCGTTATTCCAAATAATGGGTGACATAGATAAAAGGTCGTCAGTTGATCTTTGTTTCCGAAAGCCATACTGATGATCATTCAAGATATTGAAGCCTTCCAAATATTTAAGAATATGGTGGTTCATGGCTTTCTCCATGATTTTTGATATCACTGATAGCAAAGTGACTAATATAGTTATTTGAAAGATTTTTCTTGCCTTTTTTGAGAATAGGTT